TTTTAGTGTTCAACATAATGTCTACAAACCACATTTTAGGAAGGTCTTGGCAGACACTTTCGTACTCAACTGATATGAAAGTGCATATATTGTGTATAAATAAGACTTAAAGCTGCTGTAAGCATTTTTTTAATACTCCGGCTCTCTGCCAGTGACGTCATTTGGAGCGAGACTATTTGTTTGACACTTTTTAAAAAAATTTTGGAAAACAGAAATGTGCTTGCAGCAGCTTTAGGCAGGCAGTTAAGCGTAGAATTCAAATCTTAAATCTAAACCATTGGAAATAATTAAATATCAATACAATTGCCATGCTTGAATAGAACAGAGTATTAATTAATACAACAGGTAGTCCAACAACACTTTTTTTTATCTCTCCAGTTGTCTGTGAATTAGTGGTGAGCATTTTTTTGGTGATTCTTTCTGCATCTACCAAAGTTGCACCAAAATATTTGGAATGGATGCAAGAAAATTTGACATTAACAACTAAAAGAAGGAAATGGAAAGTGTTTTCTCCCTTTTTGTAGGAGAATAATCCCTCTCAAAAACTCAAAATTTAGATTTTTTGGGGTTCTAAACTATTTTTTTTTTGTGAAATTGTGAAATATTATAACAATTTAAAATTATTTCTATTTGAATATATTGTAAAATGTAATTTATTCCAGTAATGCAAAGCTGAATTTTCAGCATCATTACTCCAGTCTTCAGTGTCACATGATCCTTCGGAAATCATTCTAATATGCTGGTTTGCTGCTAATGAAACAATTTGTATTCTTTTCAATGTTGAAAATTTTTGTAGAAACCATGATAAATGTTTTTTTTTCAGGATTCTTTAATGAATAGAAAGTTCAAAAGAACAGCATATATTTGAAATAGATTTTTTTTTTACTATGTAAAAGTCTTTACTGTCACTTCTGATCAATTTAGTGCATCTTTGAAAAATACAAAAATCTTACTGACCCCAAATGTTTGAACGATAGTGTATTTATATATTCAATGCATTCAAATAGTGCAATAATTTAATATTAAAGCTAAAGCTAGTAAATGGACTTAGTAGAGGGACCTGTCCAGAACAACCGTTGAACTCACCAGACTTCTCACAATCTTTAGAGTAAACATCAGGTCAAAGAATCAAGGATGACCCAAGCAGAACGCACTGACCTGAAAACTGCATCAGCACACACATCTATTAACTAGACCACATGAGACCAGCACAGCGATTCTATCTGACAAGCTACAGTAACATTCAACCGAGCTCATGCAATTCACTTTACTGCCAGAGAGACTAAAAGAGCAGCATTTTAAAGACCACCCAGCAGACCGCTATATATAGCATGCGTTGACTGCTGGGCCATTTGTCAGGATGTGACAATTCAAGTGTGGATTAACACAGAGGGACTAACCGGTGTTGAGCGAGAGAAAAGACGCAAATGAGATGCAGGAACGGTTTACAACAAACAAATCCACATTTTGAGAAAGTATCTACAAGCTGTGCTGCCCATTTTGTTTCTTCTAAAGGTGTTTATTATTCTGTTGGATTAGAATATCGTAAATAATGCACGCTGTCCTATATAAAACCATCTGTTGTTTGGCGTGTCTTTGTAGATATTTTAAAATCACCCAACCTGAAGTGTTTTCTCTCAAATCGCGAGAGAAGAAAAAAAAAAAAGCCAAAATTTGCTGTAACAAACATTAAAAGTAAGAAAAAGTCGACAACATTTCAATAGCATCAGAAAACATTCATGCCTTCTGTTTGGATTGTGGTGCAAACACATTCATTACGAGTTCCCAATCAGATTTCTATGCATCAGTCGTTCAGAAAACACTAGCTTTAAATCTAGCTTTTTCCATTTTTCCAAGACGTTCACTGTTTTTCTGTGACTGTGTCGTATTCAGACAACTATACCAATTTGATTTAGTCAATGTTTCTAGGGCAAAACAATTTAGACTCACTTCTCTCGGCCGAGTGGCACGGCACTGCAGCCACTCCAATCAAGGAGCAGCTATGCAGATGAACTATTGTACAACTATTTACAGCATACTTTACCAGCAGCGGGGGTCTTTCAAGCCCAGCATGCGCAGGATAACTGGTCACCATAGTAACACACAAATATAAAAGGCCCTTCATTTGTAGCCTGATAAGAAAAAGGGGAGAAAAACTCTCTAAAATGTATGTACCTTCTAATTGAAAAACGCTTTGAAGCCAACAGCATTTGCAACTCATTTCGCTTCAGTAATGTGACATATTCATGAGAAAGAAAAGAATATATCGGAATGAAGCCAAACCTGAATGTGATTTTGGATTGTGAAGGCCTACTTTACTGAAACACCCTTATTGAAGAGACTTTTTATGCGGGATGTGGAGGCAAAAGGTCTCATTTATTTTTGAGAGCATTCCCATTTGTACAGTGCCGTGAAAAGGTTTTTGCCCCCTTCCTGTTTCTTTAAATTTTTTGCAAATTTGTCACACTTAAAAGATTCAGATCATCAAACCAATTTCAATATTACGCAAAGATAATGCAAGTAAATACAAAATGCAGTTTTTAAATGATAATTTCATTTATTAAGGGAAAAAAGCTGTCCAAACCTACCTGGCCCTATGTGAAAAATTATTTGCCCCTCCTCTTAAATCATGAAAGAACTGTGATTAACCACATCATTTTAGAAAGCTTTGTGTAATATTAAAATGTGTTTGATGATCTGAATCTTTTAAGTGTGACAAATATGCAAACAATTAAAAAAACAGGAAGGGGGCAAAAACTTTTTCACACCACTGTATGTATCTTCAGTTTCTTTATCAGATCTATCATTATATGCTATTATTGTCATAATTGTATTGCTTTAATTTTATCATGTATTACTGACAAAAGTACTACTGCATGCACAGCCTTGGTGCATAGAGAAAAATATGATTCAGAGGGAATGCAAGTTATTACATTTTCCTGCAAGTTTAAAAAGACAAGTTGTATACAAAACAGGGTCACATTTGATTTCATATTATGTACAAAAATATTTGTTTATATGTACAGGTTTCTGCAGGTAAATTGAAGACTTTTAAGACCTTTCTAAGATCAAGTAAAGAAAATTTAAGGACTAAATCCAATGGAACACAATACATCCATATGGTCTCTAAATGAAAATGTTTCATATTATCAGCACTTGACAGTTTGAAAATATTGCAGATGTTACAGATCTCTTCATTACTTTTCAATTCAACTAGAATATGGAAATAACTTTCACTGTGCCTTCTGATCACATTGCAATACTTCATCAGTATTTTTGTCTTGTTTTCCACGCAAACGTCTACAGATTCTTAAATCAAGATACATTTACTTGAGAAGCAAAATGACAAAATTAAAAAGTCTTGATTAATGAGAAACTGATCAAAATGAAGCGAGTTTATAATTAAAACAAGAACAAATATCTATATAGGCTCGGAAAACTTGTAGGACTTCAATGTGGATCAATGGTTGAAGGTCCAAATTACAGTTTCAATGCAGCTTCAAAGGGCTCTACACAATCCCAGCTGAGGAATAAGGGTCTTATCTAGCGAAACGATTCGTTTTTAACGACTGAAGAAAGAAAGACATGAACATCTTGGATGACATGAGGGTGAGTAAATTATCTGGAAATTTTAATCCTTTAATTTTGTTAAATTTCTCGGAAAACAAGACTTCATACATCCAGTTTGCATATTAAGTAAATGTATTTTGATTTAAAGATGTTTCAATATTTTCATTAAAAAATACTGAGGGAGATTTTTTGAAGTATTCAACACTTAAGACTTTCTGCTCCGATTTTAGACCTTTATACACCTTAAATTGTGGCTGGACGAATTAAGACTTTTAAAGACGTTTTTAAGACCTGCAGAAACACTGTATGTAATTGTTTATGGTTCCAGATATTGAACTGATGACAACGAGAATCCTTATCTCAAGCAGAATACCCTTAAATCTAATTTACTGAAATATTTGTTTTCTTGACTTTCACAAAATCAGGGATAATCACACTTAGAGGACATTGTTTTATGGTATTAATTAGCCAAATATAGAATTTGCTTGTGTTTGGATACAATTTGCATATTCAAATCCAAGCGCTAATCCTTGTATTTGGTGACAAACAGCATTTTGCTGATGTAAATCCACATCAGATTTGTTGTGCTCGTAAACTTTTCCTCCACTGTAGTACGTAATGAGCCATAGTAACAGCTCAGTCAATTGAATTACTTTTCTTTACTGTCTAATAAACTATAAATGCTCTATGCAACAACAACATAGCACTCGCTGACATAATGTCATATATTTTTATAGATCAAATGAATCATTCATTAAAGGCAGAGTAAGGGATTTCTGGTAGCCAATGTTTATATTTGAAATCACCAAAACAAACACGCCCCTACCCCAAAAGGGTCTTGCCCCTATTTTGATAGCTCCGCCCCACACATACGTACGCAACCCAGGCAACGATTAGTTCTGTGAAACAAAGCAAAACCAATGTTACACCGTGTCTACGGACGTGAGCGGCGCGGCGCAACAAATCCCGACAGAAAACTGCTGCCGGGTTCTATTTATGACGTGCTGACACACATTTCAAATGGTTTTCAACGGTCGTTTGATCGTGTCCAGTGTAGGCAGACTTTAGCTGTTGTAGACACGGTGTTACTCACCTATTGAGAAGAAACAAAGCAACCTCGGCGTCCGATCGCAGGCCTCCGCTCCTTGAGTTCTCTCCAGCGCTGGAAAGCTGATCCGATATTTACACGGATCCTACTTCTTGCCTTATCGTTCCGCAGACGTTTTCCTCTTTTGTTTTTTATCCGCCATCTCTATCTTTCTGTCGCTCGGCTCGGCTAATGTCCGTCCCATGCACTGAACGCGCTCTCCTCCACATCATGAGTAGACACGCCCCTTATTGCTGATTGGCTACAAGTTTGTTTTGCGATTCGGCCCGAATCAGTTTTTAAAGCGTTTTTGAAAAATCACTTACTCTGCCTTTAATATAACCTTCTCTTCCCAAATTCAATTAAAGCTTTCTTGTCCAATGGTGAATGCTGTTCCCGCCCCGTCGACACCTCCCGGTCTATTCATCATTGGCTGTTGTTGCTGCCCGTCTCAATCACTTTGCTTTCCTCCTCTAGTTTGGGTATGATGAATGAGCTGGAGGGACTCTCATCTATCTGCTCGGCACCTCCATTTATCGTCGTGGCTGAAAAATAGATGGTGTATGAAGTGTAATTTGGTGCTGTAGCGAGGCTTCTGTCCCAGTGGATGTGTCGTGGGACTTTGATTAAATCCTTCTTATAGGAAATCGATACATTCTTCGTTAGGCCTCTCCTTCTACAAGCCTAGGCCTTTTCCTTCTTATACATTTAACACACACACATAGATGAGGGGGATGAGGTGGAGAACAGAAGAGTATATGAGAGGATGTAGGATGGTTGGAGGCTAAAAGGAGGAATGACCAGGAGAGGATAAGGGGGAAAGGGTAGCCTGACCCAGTATTTAAAGGAAAAAAAGTAAAGTGTAGGGGAATATGGGTGAAAAAAAGCGAATAAAGAAAGCAGAAGGAATGACCAAGCAAAAGAGAGACAGATAGGGGCTGATTTTCAAAACCTAGTGAGCCGCCTATCTAGACAGCATCATAAAGCACTTTTTTTAGGTTAAAATCTAATGTGTTACGATACTATGCAATACCATACTGTACTATACAACCGTAAAGAAAAGATGCATTAAACTGATCAAAAGTGACAGTAGATATTTTCAGTGTTAAAACAAATTTTTTTCTCAAATATATTATGTTCCTTTGAACTTTCAATTATTAAAAAACCCTTAAAACAAAAATAATAAGCAGCACAATGCTTTTCAACATCGATAATAATAAGAAATATTGCTTGAGCAGCAAATCAGCATATTAGAATGATTTCTGAAGGATCATGTGACTGAAGACTGGAGTAATGATGCTGAAAATTCAGCTTTGCATCACGGGAATAAATTATATATTAAAATTGAAAAGAGTTACTTGAAATTGTAATAATATTTCACAATATTACTGTTGGGATGGGGTATGATGAAAATCTTTATATCAGAGTATAACTAATTTTATATCACGGTAACAGAAAATATCACATAATACAGTTTTTTATGCAGCACATTCAACCACATTTTTTTTTTGTATATTAACTTATTCAATACATGCAATAATGATGAATAATGTCAATTAAATACTCTATAAAAATACAAGTCACTTCAACTTGATGACCAAAACTTTAAGATTATACATAACATGAATGACAAGCTTGCATCAGTGCAAAAACAGCTTTACATTATGTAATAGGTAAAAATGAAAGACTCACATTAGTAAAACTAATATTACAAACCGAATATTTCAGACCCTATAAATACACATAAACATACACATAGGTTACAGTACAGTATAAATGGTATAGAAAAGTATAACATTCTTTTCTTATTATATACTGTATGTACAGTATGTGCTATGTATTTTTGTGCTTATTAGAGCACTGGGTTGTTAGCTTAAAAACACAAATGTCTATTGCAATCAATTGTGATTCATACAATTAAAAAAAAAAAAAAAAAAACGGAAAAAAAACAAGAAAAACAGAAGCGTACAAATCTATTTTCTGCAAACATGCCTGAACGTGTATAAATCGAAACGCCACACAATAGCGCTCTTCCCATGAAGCTCACAACTGTTTCCAATGGAGGTTGTGCGACGAGTTGCTACCTATGTGAAGTGTTTCATATCAGTCACACGTGAAGAAGCTATCACAATCACTGTTTTGGATTTGAAGTCCTGCCTGAGAGACACCTAATTCCCTTCGTGCATGCCACACACTGCACGCCGCTCGACTCGAGTGGATTAAACCGAATCACAAAAGATCAACAGTCGATATTGCAAATGCTAAAAGGCTGGCGCACACAAGCTGTGCCGCTAGTCATGAATTGAGAGAGCGAGAGAGAGAGAGAGAGAGAGAGAGAGAAAGAAACAAAAATCACCGCTAATGACCAGCACTTGCCATATGGGTGGGACGAACACTGAGGCACATGGTTTCATCCAAACAGACCAAAACTTGACCGCATAGCGGGCTCTCCAAGCCAAATGCCTCAAAAGCGGTGCACAAATGGCTATATGTGGCCAAATTTACTAAGAACATCAGGTTAGCCTTCTCTAAATGAGATCTATCAGAGCACCTCACCTCTAAACGCACTGGCCAAGCAGCCATAAAAACATTACTGCCAATAAATAACATGCAGCGTTTAAACTTAGCAGGTCGTACCATGCAGAATACTTTGAACTCTCTGGACAAGTTACCAAGTTAAATAATTTGAAAGGCCAGAAACAGAACTCCTCCCCGTTTCTGGCCCTGGATGAAATATTTAATTTATCTCCCCCTGTTGATAGACTGTCTGGCCTGCGCTGGCCCAGCATAAGGACGACCTCTGCCAGAGGTATTTTAATGTGTTTGTGAGTGTCACCTGCTGTCAATTTCAATTTGAGATGAAGAATTCCCTGGAGGCTAATTTGCTCTTGTAGGCAGTACGTTACTTCCAATTGGCAGCTAGCAACGGACGCTATATGCTTTGTAAGCACCCATATCTCTCTTTATTTCTCTTTTACTTTATCAGACACACACGCTGCATCCCAATTCTCATACTATGTGTCCTATATACAGTACAAACGTAAAGGTTATGTTCAGAATAGCTACTCTACTTCTGTATATGCAGTATGTAGCATGTATTGTAGTAAGCAAATTTTATACACACATGGAATACCCAGATGATTACATGAGCAAAATGTTACACTGGGTACTGTATCCCATAATGCAACGCACACAGCTTGATCTACCATTTTCAGTGTGATAAATTAACTGACAATTCAATTGTTGATGAAGTATGATATTTAGGTATGCATGTAAAGTAATTTACTATAAATTAGTTTATAAATCAATGAATTTTTGTCATCATTTACATGTACCACATGTTGTTCCAAACCTGATTTTCTTCTTCTGCTGAACGCAAAAGAAGATGTTTTGAAGAATGTTGGTAACCAAACAGTTACTGGTAGCCACTGACTTCCATAGTATGGGGACTAGAAACTGTTTAATTACCAACATTCTATCCCTTTAAATTATACAACTGTTCAAAATTTTTTGATTAGTACAGTTAGTATACAGTTATTTTTTATGTTTCAAATAATACTTTGTATTAAATTAATCAAAAGTGACAGTAAAGACTTTTATAACGTTAAGATTTCTGTTCAAAATAAATGCTGTTTTTGAACTTTCTATTCATCAAAGAATCCTGAAAAAATGTATAATTGTTTCCACATATATATTAAGCATCAAAAACAGTTTTTAACAACATTGATAATAATAAGAAATGTTTCTTTAGCAACAAATCGGCATATAAGAACATTTACTGAAGGATCATATGACACTGGACAGGAGAAAAATCAGTTTTGCCATTACATTGTAAAATATATTAAAATAGAAAACACCTAAATTGTAATAATATTTCACAATATTGTTTTTACTGTATTTTCAATCAATGCATACCATGCTGAGGCTTCTTCCAAAAACATTTAAAAAATCTTACCTACTCCAAACTTTTGAATGGTAGTGTATAGTACAGGGCTGTCCAAACTCGGTCCTGGAGGGCCGGTCTCCTGCAGAGTTTAGCTCCAACCCTAATTAAACACACCTGAACCAGCTAATCAATCTTACTAGGCATAGAAACTTCCAGTCAGGTGTATTGAGGCAAGTTGGTTCTAAACTCTGCAGGACACCGGCCCTCCAGGACCGAGTTTGGACAGCCCTGTATGAACAAATTAACATGGTACTCGAAGAACTTATACTTAAAAATAGCCACTCAGTTATTTTCAATTTTTCAACTTTTCCAATCTGATGGCTCCTCAGCTCACTTTGGCATACATTACATTAGGGAAGTAGGCATATTCAGAAGCAGAGCACATCTTTTCTTGACTCATTATTGGACTGAAATGCCAAAAGCTGACATGCATTTATCCTCATTGCAAGTGAACCCATATTTAATGTAGTCGTGACTCGTGACCCTCCAGTCCATAACTGCTGCCCAAAAAGAATGTACTTTCCTTTCAGGGAAGCTTACTGTACTTTTGGTGTGAAGTATAAGTATGTGAATTGGGATGCAGCCATACTAATGCTAATGCTTCCCTCTCCTCCAAGCCTTGTCTATTTATCTTGTCTTTCTTCTCATTCTTCCCTCTCTTTCTTTCCTTGGCTTGCTGAAGGGGAGGTTCATTATGTGCTCCCCGTCTCAAGGTTTTGTGGCTGACACTCAAGGTTTCTGCTCAGCTTAGTGGATCATCCATCAGAGCCTGTGCTGCTTTCATAGGAGAACGATCCAGAAACTCTTCTCAGTTTTCAAATGGTGTGAAGAGAGAAAAATAAAGGGGAGTAACACCAGCTCGAGGTTACAGGTTGCTTTAAGGGATCATTTACGCAAAAATATAAATTCTGTCATCATTTACTCACCCTAATGCTGTTGTTTCTTTCTTCTGGGGAACATAAAGGAAGATAATCCGAAGAATTCATGCCATGGTATGGAAATAAAATACAATGAAGGTCAATGGGAACCAAAACCATTTGGTTACCAGCAATCTTCATAATATGTCCTTTTGCAAATGATAGAAAGTGCATTGATTTCCATTGCAAGGACAATAAAAAAATAATAGAAGTCAATAGGAACCAAAACTGTTTGGTGCAGCATTCTTCAATATATGTCCTTTTGCAGATGATAGAAAGTGCATTGATTTCCATTGTAATGACAATAAAAAAACAATAGAAGTCAATAGGAACCAAAACTGTTTGGTTACCAGCATTCTTCAAAATATCTTCTTCTGCAGATGATAGAAAGTCAAACAAAGTTGGAACAAGGGTAGTCTCAGCCTCAGACGTCACGCCCACGGCCGCGGACCGTTGGCTAAACGTCTGATGCATACAGCACACAAAAGTGGAAACACTTCAGGAGTTTCGAAGTCGTCATCGGATTGGTTGAATTATACAGGATTTCCGGGAGACGTGTGTGGAAACAAAGATGCCGTGCCGCCAAACCCCCTCACGAAAGAAGAAAGCTGTCGTGCTTACAACTGTGACGACGAGCGCTTATCAGGATCAACTAAATGCTGGATTTGCAAAAGTATGTGAA